CGTAGAAAAGTCGCCCGAGTGGGACCGGATTGGACAATTATATGTGTCAGGCGACTGAATGAGCGGCGCCCCGGTGCCTCCTCCCGTCCCCACGCGCGGCCGCCCTGTGGGGCGAACTGGGAGCTGCCTCTTGCCTCTTGCCTCTCCAGGGGCCCCCGAGGGCCATCGGAGTCCGAGGACGGCCCACTAGCAAGCGGAGGCGGGAGGGGGAGGGCGTGATATCCGGTCATCGACCACCTCTTTCACACCGGACATCGACCGCTTCGCGGCGCCGCTCTCGCTTCCCCGACAGGCCCCTGAAGCCACGGCCCGGACCTATCTGGGCGGTCCTGGCCTCAGATCGGGTGGACGAGGCAGGCGCCGGGACGCCTTCCGGGCGGAGACGAAGAAGGAAGGCACGGTCACCATGGAGGGCTTTTACTCATCCCCGGGTCGGTGCTGCTCTCCCGCGAAGGAGGCCTGAGGTCTCGCGTCTGCGCCTCATGCCCCCGCGGGCCGAGGTCTCAGCTTGCCGAGCGGCCGTGGGGACGTGTGGCGGCGATCCTGCTGGAGCCAGAGCGCAAAGCGTTTTTCAAGCAGTTGCGAAGCAGCTTGGCTCGCCTATAGGTCTACCAGAGAATGGTCTAAGAGCCTTGTGTGGCTTGCGCGAAATGTTAGTGGAACACTTCTGGCTGGGACTGTCTTGTTTGAACACATCGGGTTTATGTTCTAAGAATATCGTCTTTGTTCTTAGCACATTTCTGGGTTCTGCGAACCTGTTGTGGTAGGCCCATGGGGTTTCGTAGATCTCCAGGGTGCCCTCCCTGACCGCCATGTAGCCCAAGAGGAGGCCCGTTGGGGGTGGAACGGAAGGGGCCTCGAGTACATGCATCTCTGCGCTCTCGTGGCCCGGCATCAGCTTTCCCAGGGACGCTTATGATTATTTGTATGTACGATGATCCTCATTATGAATATTAGGTTTGAGACGCCAGAGGCATCGAGCGCTCTCGAGCGTGCTGAAGTCTGAAGTTCCATTGAGGCTTCAGGGGCCCATTTGGTTGTACCATAAGATCCCTCCGGTTTTTGAACGGTTTGGGGCTATGTTCGGGTTGCGGCTCAGCGTGATTCGAGAAGTGCTTTAAAAAGATCCGAGACGGCTCCAGAGGGCCCCAGGCACGGGCAAAATGATACCAAGAGTGTTTCAAAGAGTGCCTCGAAGGGCTTCCGTCGAGGTCCCGCACAGCGCCTGGAAGCGTCCAGAAGTCTCCCGCGCGAAGGCGTGCTTCAGTTGACTGCAGAAGGGCGGCCAGCGGACGCCCGCTGTGCCGCCGGACCCAAACCGGCGGAATGAGCAGGCCGCAGGGAGGACTCGAGAAGGGGAGGACTCGAGAAGGAGGAGGAGGAGGAGGAGGAGGAGGAGGAGGAGGAGGAGGAGGAGGAGGACAGGAGGAGGAGGTGGAGGAGGAGGAGGCGGAGGAGGAGGAGGAGGAGGAGGAGGAGGAGGGAGGAGGAGGAGGAGGAGGAGGAGGAGGAGGAGGAGGAGGAGGTGGAGGAGGAGGAGGAGGAGCAGGAGGAGGAGGAGGAGGAGGAGGAGGAGGAGGAGCAGGAGGACCGTCCTCGCACATCATGTCGCGGGAATTCCGCACGCCGTGCCCGCTGGGTGCGGCGGACCGCTGCGCTCGCTTCGACGGCCCATCGTGTGTAGTGGTTCGTGGCCTTCGGCCACGCCGGGTCGGGGACAGAAGGCGCTGTGGGGAGTTTTGTCGGTGCTTCTCTTGGCGGCAGGTCGGGGCCTCCTGGGGGACATCTGGGGTGTCTCGCGAGTGCCTTGGGGGCGCCTCGCCTATGACGGGGACCGGGACTCACTCGCTTCTCCTCCGGAGTCGCTCTGTGACGGCCCCCAAGTCTGGAAAAGGGCCCCCCGGGGCCGCACCCAGCAAGAAGCCCCCCCGCGATTTTCCCACCACGCGAGGTGGTCTGGGGATCCTTGAGATCCGACGCTGCCAAACAGCTGACACATCGCACGAGAACGCGACACGGTCCTCGGACCCGCTCTTCCATGGGCCCTTCCTCGGGCAGCATCGATCTCTGTAAGGTCCCCCGGGGCCCGACACCCGGCGAGGACGCCCGGCTCGAAGAAAACCAGGACGCCAGGATTTCAGGGCGGGGCGGGGCACTGCGAGCACCCTCCGACGAGGTCCCTCCGAGGACGACGAGGTCGCTCCAGCTCACACGACGACGAGGTCACCGACGAGGTCCCTCCGACGACGACGAGGTCGCTCCAGCTCACACGACGACGAGGTCAGGGCGAGGTCCCTCCGACGACGACGAGGTCAGGGCGAGGACCCTCCGACGAGGTCGCTCCAGCTCACACGGCCCGCGGCCGCTGCCGCCAGCCCATTCCCCTCTCTTGTCGTCGGTCTGTTGCCGTCTTCGTTTTCGTCGTCGTCGCCGCCTTTCACGTCGTCGTCGTCGTTCTCGTCGTTCTCGTCGTCGTCGCCATCGTCCCCGCCCTCGTCCT